CTATTTTTAGAGATAGGGTCTCATTCTAGCTCAGGCTGGCCTTGAACCCATGAGCTCAGGCTATCTCCCCTCCTTGGCCTCCTAGAGTGCTGGGATATTCCAGGTGTGAGCCACTATGCCTGGCCTTCCAACTCATCTTTTAATGCTTATAGATCTCATCCTTACAAGCTGGCCAACCTCGTTGTTAGCCTTCCTCAGACGCAGCTACTGCTCCTTTTTCTCCATGCAGTTCCCTTCCTTTGAAATTTCCTACATCTTCCCCAAGCGGCCTTCCGAGTCTTTCCAAATGCTTTACATTCTTAATAGCAAGGAAGTAAAATGCAACAGTTAGAGCCCAGGATCTGGAGCAAAGGGGACCTGGGTTCATGTTCCAGCTCTGCCACTTCCTGGCTGTGTCACCGAGAGCAAGATACTTTACCTCTCTGATCCTCTGCTTCTCTATTTGAAAAGTGGAGTCAATAAGAGAATTTATCTCATAGGGAAAACTAGGGGATTAAAAGAGACAAAAGTATAAATTGTTTGGAACAGCATCTGTCACATAGTAAACACTAATATTGGCTGTTATCATTACCCTTTCAGGTGGGGCCAACATACTTTTACTCCTTGGTAAATATTTCAGGCTCTGCAGGCTGTATAGTCTCTGCTGAAGGTACTCAATTCTATAGCATGAAAACAGCTGTAGATAACACATAAATAAAGGGTGTGGTATGTTCCAATAAACTTTATTTACAAAACCAGTAAATGGAGGGTTAGATTCGGTCCACGTTGCCATAGTTTGGCAATCCCTGCTTTAGGGCCCGGCACAGAGGGCAAGTCTTCCCCAGTTCTCCAGGAGAGAGTGGCTTCTTCCTACCACTCTGAATATTCTAAACACCTTCAGCTAGCAGTCCTCAACCTTTCTGGCACCAGGGACTGGTTTTATGGAAGACAATTTTCCCACAGATGGGGTGAGGGGGAATGGTTTGGGGATGATTCAAGCGAATTACATTTATTGTGTACTTTATCTCTATTATTATTACATTGTGATATTTAATGATGCACAGTAGACTATAGTTGACCATCTTCCCCTCCTTAAGTTGACCTAATTTTTATAGACCAGACATGCACCACATGTACATATCAGTACAGTAGGGCTAGTTCCTTCTGTCGACCAGTTTGTTACAGTCCCTTGTGTGGTCAACTTACAGAGGTTCTACTATAATCACACTCATCATAATGCAGAATCAGTGGGAGCTCTGAGCGTTTTCCTGAAACTAGATGGTGAGGGGAGACAGTGACACCCAAAGTGTGTCGCTCATATCCTCAGCTCCAACTCAGATCATGCGGCATTAGATTCTCACGAGGACTGCACAACCTAGACGGCGCCTGTGAATCTAATGGCACCACTGATCTGACAGGAGGGAAGCTCAGGCAAGCTCAGGCGGTGCCGTGAGCAATGGGGAGGGGCTGCAAATGCAGATGAAGCTTCACTTGCTTGCCTGCTGCTCACCTCCTGCTGTGCAGCCCGGTCCTAACACGCCATGGACTGGTACCCATCCATGGCTCAGGGACTGGGGACCACAACCTTAAATGACATCAGCAACAACAAGACAACACCCCACTGACATAGGGTTGGCATCATACCCTGTTTTGAGTTCTAGGTTAGAAGGACATAGGACCAGCATTTAAAGTGAAGAAGAACATGGATGTCATGGGCTGATAAACTCAGGTTTTTAGTTTTGTTGAAATATCATGTGACGTGGGCAAATTATTTCACCCCCTGAACCTTGCAGTTTCTTCAACAGTAAAATGAAGACTGCAATAGTACAATGACACACACCTGCTGGGCTGGGTCAAAGCAAAATGATGGATGATGCTAGGTCTTTTATTTAAACAATGATTTTGCTTGTAAGACCTCCCAGCCATTGTTGTGGTAGTGGTGCCTGTTGTAGTTAATCATTACAATGCTGATAACGAGTGGCTGCCTGGCTAGATGGCCAGAGCTGGGTATTTACTTACGACTGGGGGACTCCTCCAATTCCAAAGCCCACCAGGCCCCGGAGCACCAAGATCCAGCTATACACAGGCGCAAAAGCACTAAGGATGCCGTAGTACAGAGTCCAGAGCACGCTGATCTTCAGCCCCTGCAGAGAAGGAAGACACTGAGTCATAAGGGCTTCTCATGCCTCTGGGTAGCATGGTCCCTGTACCATGCTAGGAAACCCACAAGGGAGCCCACATAGCCAGATACCAGAGATTCTCTGTATGGGTAGGGGTGACCCTTGGGTTGAGGGTGAGAAAATTATGGAGTATTTTTGGCTGTCCCAATGAATGGCATTTAATACCAATCCAGGCCCAGAGATGCCGCTATTCCTACACTGTAGGAGACACCTATAGACTTACTTGTCTTGCATCCCACACCATCTCAAATGTCCTGCCTGACCATCATGCATCTTATTTATGATGATCTGTTCCTAGATATCCTTTCTGTTTTTAGATAGAGGCAGGATTTGTGGAACATACTTTGAATATACATAAAATTTTTCAGGAATGCAGGTAAAGATCAAAGGAAGATATACTTTTTTTCTGAGACAGAGTCTCAAGCTGTTGCCCTGGGTAGGGTGCTGTGGCATCACAGCTCACAGCAACCTCAAACTCTTGGGCTTAAGTGATCCTCTTGCCTCAGCCTCCCAAGTAGCTGGGACTACAGG